CATGGCCCCTTGACTGGGAATCAACCCCGGGGCCCTACCCTTCAGTGGCCGACGCTCTGTCCACTGAGCCAAACAGCCAGGGCCCTGTGGCCTGACCTGGCTTTCCCCTGCGGCTGGAGCATCTTCCCACGCCCATCTTCGGTGACGTGTTCCTTTGTGGGGTTTGCCGTCTCCAACGGACGTGTTTGCTTGTCCGACTATAGACACTGGAGAATTCCTCACTCCTCCCAGATCCGAGGCCCCTGTCACTTACGCGTCTGCAGCCTTTCCGCCTCCTCCAGGGGCTTTTGCAGAGAGAAGTCTGTTAATGTGATGAAGTCCACGTCTTTCTTCTTCCATCGTGGAATCGGGTCTAGGCACGCGGCCCCCAGATGCTTACCTTTAACTGCAGGGCTCACCTTCCGTTACGCGCTGTACAGGGTGAGAGGCTTAGACCAGATCCGCACGTCTTTGCTCTTTGGCCCATGGGTGTCCCGTGGCCCCAGCACCACTGGCTGAAAACACTATCGATCCCCGCTGACTTGTTCTGTGCTGCGTCCGAAGCCAGTCGGGGGGCCTGGGCGGGGCTGTCCCAGCTCCTCCCTCCTGTGCATGGGTCCACATGCTTACTCCCGGCCAACACGCCGTCTGGGCGGCCAGAGCCATGCGACGTCTAGGGTTGGGTAGGGGTTAGCGTGGTTCTCCCGCGTTCTTCTTCTTTTTCAAAATCGTCTTAGCGATTCCAGTTCCTCTGCGTTTCCATGCACAGTTTTTGGATCATCTTAGATGCACCCGCAGAACATCAGCTGGGCTCCGAGAGGAGGTGCGTAAACCTGTGCGTCTGTGTGGGGACAACTTACGACGTGAAGTATTTCGACCCATGAACACAGTCTGTCTCCCCATTCACCCTGCTTCCTTCGATCCGTTCCGTCACCATTCTGTAGTTTCAGCAGGCACGTCCTGCACATGCTTTGCTACATTTAGGTCTTCGAGTTTTTTTAAACTGCAAATGGCATTGGTGCCGAAGGCTGGTCTCCGCCTGCTCACTGCTGGCACACAGGAAGGAGCGCAGTTGATGTTTGTAGACGGATTTCGTAGCCTGTGATTTTGTGGGACCCGTATCTTAGCTGTGGGCGTATTTTGTAGATTTCTTGAGATTTTCTGTGTAGACCATAATGTCATCTGCAAACAGGGAAGCTTTATTTTTTATTTTTTCTCTATCTGTATGCTCTCCATTTCCTTTTCTTGGCTGGCGAGAACTTCCAGTACCAGGTGGGATAAAATTGGTCAGTGAACATCTTTGCCTCACTTCTGATTTTAGGGGGGAAACATTCAGGTTTCACCAGTAAGTATGATGTGAGGTGTAGACTTTTATTTTTCTTAAATACTCATCTGAGGATATATTTTTATTATTATTATTATTTCAAAAGGAGAGTGGGGAAGAGAGGGAGAGAGAAAAACATCGATGTGAGAGAGAAACACTGATTGGTTGCCTCCTGTACGTGTGCCGACTGGGGATCTAGCCGGAAGCTAGGCATCTGCCCTGACCAGGAATCGAACCTGAAACCTTTCGGTGCACAGGGCGATGCTCCAACCAACCGAGCTGCTCAGCCAGGGCCAGTGGATCCTCTCTATGAAGTCGAGGACGTTTCTCCTCTATTTCTAGTTTTCTGAGAATTTTTTTAAGAATCATGAATAAATGTTGACTCTTGTCACGTTTTCTTTGTATCACCTGAGACAATCACTTGACTTTCTTCTTTATCCTGTGAAGGTGATGGATTAAATAGGTTCATTTCTGCATATTGAACCAGCCTTGCATCCTCGGAATAAACTCTGCTTGCTCATCGTATAGAATTCTTTTTAAAAAAATATATTTTATTGATTTTTTACAGAGAGGAAGGGAGGGAGATAGAGAGTTAGAAACATCGATGAGAGAGATACATCGATCAGCTGCCTCCTGCACACCCCCTGCTGGGGATGTGCCCGCAGCCAAGGTACATGCCCTTGACCAGAATCGAACCTGGGACCCTTCAGTCCACAGGCTGACGCTCTAGCCACTGAGCCAAACTGGTTAGGACTAGAATTCTTTTTCTAAGTTGCTAAATTATACTTGCTAATATTTTGCTAAGAATTTTTGTAGCTATATTCCTGAGGGATAGAATGTATAGTTTTCTTTTCTACTATTGTCTTTTTAATATATATATATTATTGATTTCAGAGAGAAAAGGCAAGGGAGAGAGGGATAGAAACATCAATGATGAGAGAGAATCATTGATCGGCTGCCTCCTGCAGGCCCCACACTGGGGATCGAGCCCGCAACCTGGGCCTGTGCCCTGACCGGGGATCAAACCGTGACCTCCTGGTTCATAGGTCAATGCTCAGCCACTGAGCCACACTGGCCGGGCTCTAGTATTACCTCTGTCTGGTTTGGGTATCAGAGCAACACTGGTTTCATCATGACACCCCATTGCTATTGGTGAATGTCTTGCCAGGTTTTCATAAATTCTTGGGGACAGTGCAGCTGTTGGGTTTCAGCTATTTTTTGTAGCAACAGCGTGTAACACTGGGTGGGGGAGGGCCTTTGCTCTGTCGGGCTGTAGAAATATCTGCGAAGGAGTAAAGATTGCTCACCAGTAACACAATTGCTGGGCCCGAGTGTGTGGGAGAAAACCTGGAAGTTGGCGCATCCATCAGCTGCTCCCTGACTAACGATGGAAGTAGGGGGCGCGTCCTAACACCCGGGTGCCACGGCACCTCACTCAGAAGAACCTGTCCGAGGTGCCATTTCAGAAACCCGCCCTGAGACCACAGTTATATTTGGGACACGACAGGTTGTATGCCTTAGGGGCGCATGCTCAAGAGCACGTTAGCCGTTGTGTAGAGCACAGAGTCCTTCAGGACCAATAAAAATATTTGGTAAAATGAAAACAAAACCAAACTCACCCTCAGTCATCGTGAGGAAAGCGCATGCCGGCCGGCATCACCTCTCACTGACGGGCGGGTTCGAATCCAAGCGGAGAGCGTCTCCTACTGGAGAAGTCTGTCCCCGGGGATGAGTTCTAGGAAATGAATGTTGAATGATTCTGACCGACAACCAACGATCCGTGTCTTTGCACTCCCCTCCCAGCGTTCCTGAAGCCGGTGCGAACCGCCCAAGAGGAGGACGGCTGCAGCTGCGGGTTCCCCGAGGAAGAAGAGGGCGAGGAGGGTGCGCTGTGAATGGGACCCCGAAAGCTGCTGGGACGCGTTGGAGAAGCAGCGAAGGAGAAACAGGAGTGGCCCCACCAGCGTCGCTTTCGCTATTGAAATACTCGGTCCTAGATAACACCCCGGTTCCCCCAACAAGTCCCTTTAAAATGGACCCCTTCCACCAAGCATGGCACCAGGCGGGTGGCAAGGGGCATCTTCCAGGCGATACCGGACAGGATAGGGTTAGGCTTTTGTCTTGTTTTATAATCCTCATTCAAGGATATGTTCCCATTGATCTTCAGAGAGAGTGGAAGAGAGAGGGAAAGGGAGAAACATCGCTGTGAGAGAAACACATCGATGGGTTGCCTCCTGCACGCGCCCCGACTAGGGCTGGGGCCGGGGAGGAGCTTGCAACCGAGGTCCATGCTCTTGACCGGAATCGAACCCAGCACCCTCTGGTCCACAGGCCACCGCTCTATCCACTGAGCCAAATAGGCTAGGGCAGTGGTCGGCAAACGGCGGGTCGGCAAACCGCAGCTTGTGAGCCACATGCAGCTCTTTGACCCCTTGAGTATTGCTCTTCCACAAAACACTGGCTCTTCCACAAAATTGTGTAATATGACACAGGATAGTAAGCCACAGATGCAGGAAATATCCCCGACCAAGGTTTCCGTCGGTCCAGTCACCCAGCAGTGGCCTCCCCCAGGGCTGGGGGGAGGAAGCCCGGGTTGGGACGAGGCTTGAGATTTCCAGTGTCTCCGCAGGCCTGTGCCCTCCACCCTCACCTTTCTGCCTTGCCCTACCCCCTCTGGGCCAGGGCTGACACTTTATTTTATTCTTACAAACGTTAAAGGTAATGTTTTATGCACATAAACTAACAAATGAAACATAGTCACTGGATGGAGCCCCAGGAGCCCAAGCAGAGAGCTGGGGCAGGGGTAGCCTCGCTCCCCTGGGGCCGAATCTGAGACACGCGCCTTTATATGGCTCAAGAGCTACAAAGAGTTTTCACGTGGTTTTTAATATCAAAAGAAGAATAAAATCTCATGGCCTGTAAAGTTATGAGACTCAAATTTCCGAGTCTGTAACTAAAGTTTTTAAAAATATGTATTTTATTGATTTCAGAGAGGAAGGGAGAGGGAGAGAGAGATAGAACATCAGTGATGACAGAGAATCATTGATGGGCTGCCTCCTGCACGCCCCCTACTGGGGATTGAGCCCACAACCCGGGCATGTGCCCTGACTGGGAATCGAACTGTGACCTCCTGGTTCATAGGTCAACGCTCAACCACTGAGCCACCCCGGCTGGGCTGTAATTGAAGTTTTATTGGAACACACAACCACACTCATTATTTACTTACTGTCCAAGGCACCTCTGCACGGCAATAGCGAGGTGGGCAGTCGTGACAAGGGACTCGATGGCCCACAAAGCAAAAAACAAAACAAAAAACATTCAGGGTCTGACCCTGTGTAAGGTCAAGTCAAGGTCAGAGCACCCGTCTGTGCGCTGCTTCTCCCCCTGGCCTTCTGCCTACCTTCCCGACCCACCCCGAGCAACCCCTCTAGCAGCCTTACTTTTTAAAAACAAAAATCATTTATTATATCATTATCCACTCTACACCGTTTTATTTCGCTGTGTTTGTTTTTGAGGTTTCTGAAAATGGTTCTGTGCTGGGTGGAGACTTTGGGAACTTGCCTTAATGATTCACAAGTATATTTATCAGACTCATTCATGTTGTGGTGTGCAGCTGGAAGACAGTCATGTTGACTGCTTGTGTACTTTTGCAAATAAACTGTAATTTATCGATCGATTTTCTGCCAAAGGACGTGTGGGCTGTTTCTGGGTTTCTGCCACTAAGAACGGCGTTACTATGAATGCTCTTTTATGTGATTTGTGTATAGGAGGGTCTCTAGGGAAACCCCCTTTGAGCGAAATTTCTGGATTTAGGGCATATGAACTTCCAACTTTATGAACTAGTGCCCATGCCAGGAGGGATACGCTAACTTACGCAGAAATAAGAAATAATCCCCCCCACACACCTTATGGATTACACAAGACGACAGGTGCCTTCCCCGCTGGGCTCCCACACCCGGTGCAGGCTCGGCCCTCGGCTCTTGGGTCCATGCTATTTCCCGCTGGGACTGGGTGAGGGGAGCTGCTTCTACTGGGAACGTGGGTGCTCTCCTGGCCAAGGAATACACTTCGCTCCCATGCAGTTGGCTAGAGTCTAACTTTCAGAGACAGTCACACAGCCCAGCTGGGCATCCAGGGGGCAGAGGCATCACCTTGGCACGGGGAGGGGCAGAGAACATATCTGAGCGATGGAAGGGCGACCGTGGTGACAGGCTGCTTTTCAAAGCTCTAATTTTTGCTCTAATTTCTGCTCCTGTCAGCAGCACGTATGTGACCACCTGATCCCCCTCCTCGCTGCCCTCTGGCATCATCAGACGTAACTTTCCAATCCTGGCGGGAGGAGGAAGGCACCTCCGAGGTCTTATCTGCATCACCTTGATCACTAGTGAGCGTCTCGCCATCGACGTCCTCCTATACCGTCTGTGTTTCCTCTTGGTGAAACGCTTCCTTCTGTTTTTGCTCATTTTTAAAACTTGCTTGTTTGTCCCTTTCTTATCGATTCCTCCAAGTTCTTTATATGCTCTAGCTCAGGAGTCGGCAAACTCATTCGTCAACAGAGCCAAATATCAACAGTACAACGATTGAAATTTCTTTTTTTTTTAATATATTTTTTATTGATTTTTTTACAGAGAGGAAGGGAGAGGGAAAAAGAGTTAGAAACATCAATGAGAGAGAAACATCGATCAGCTGCCTCCTGCACACCCCTATTGGGGATGGGCCTGCAAGCAAGGTACATGCCCTTGACTGGAATCAAACCCAGGACCCTTTCTATTACTGAGCCAAACCAGAGGACTCCTGTCCTAACCACTGGCCACTTACATGTCTCACCAATATCTGCTTTGTTTGTGATTTGTTTCTTCTCTGTTAAATTGTATCTCTCTGCCAATAAGAGGGAAAGTTCTTAATTTGGTTAAGTTTACAACTCATGCTTCACAGACAAAAAAAGCCAAAGGGAGTTTATCACCACCCAGCCAGCAATGCAGAAAGGCTAACGCAGCGGTTCTCAACCTGTGGGTCGCGACCCCTTTGGCGATCGAACGACCCTTTCACAGGGGTCGCCTAAGACCATCCTGCATATCAGATATTTACATGACAATTCAGAACAG